CACTTGTGACACAAATACAGAATTATTTGTATCATCTACAAATAGTAGAATTATCTTCAATGAAACCTTAGATTATATAATATTGAGGGGCTACCTACCAACCCATGCAAAATGCAAAATCAAAACACCGATACCCCTCTCACAATAGTTAAAATCATCAGGACAAAAAAATTCCCCACAGTAAAGGGAAAAATCTTAATATAAGAAACAAACTCTTCATAACCATTAAAACAATTATGAGCATATAATACACAACTAAGAACATGTGCTACACAGAATCCGAACATATTTAAAGGGCGTGTCACCACGGATGAAATATTAAAAGAAGAAAGCTAAAGTTGATAAGGCTTCAATTCCCAATGAGGAGTACCACCAAAAGAACTTGAGTTGATACCAACTCACACACTAATAAAGAAATGCAGCACACAAACAAAAAGAAAAACAGAATAAAAGGTCTGATTTTATCTACATGCACAGCTACAATAAAGGAATGTCACACGGAATATTAATATCTTCAAAAATACATGCATTACTCCATCCAATTTCACACTGCAGTCCCTTCAGATACATCAAACTCTTCCTCCAGTGCTGAGGTAAACAGATACTATCCACCAGCCTGGAGGGTTTTCAGTAATGTAGGGTACAGCAAAAAGGACTGGACTGAAGAAAACGATTCTTGAAGACTCAGCCCGTGAGAGGGCAGTGGGATCATCCAAAATGGATATTATTGTCTAAATTACATTCCCCAGAATACTGTGGGTAGACCCATGGCCTATTGCCAGACGACAATTGGTCGGGTGATGCTTTAAAAAACAGAAAGCAGAGACTTTCTGGGTCAGTCTTCTATCAGCTATCTGGATACAGACTAGGGATCCTCTGGTATGCAAATGGGACCGGAGGGAGAGAGTGATGGAAGAGATTGACTGTCCAACTGGTGAAACTTTTTCGACGTGAAAGTTTTTCAACATGTGAGTTGTGCAAGTTCAACATGACACTCAACAGTTGAGTGTCGAAACAGAGACATCATAAAGGGGCGTAACAAAAGCACGCAAAATGGGGTGGCAGGCAACAGGAAATCATCAGGCTGGTATTCTGACATGCTGGTCATGTGACTGGTGGGCAGATTTGGTTTCTGGGGAAATACTGCCTGGGGTCGCTGTGAATGACAAGCTCCACAGCCAATTGTGAAAAAAAACAGAGCCTGTTAAATCTGTCACTTACTGAACATGCCTAGGAAACCCATCCCAGGGACAGCATCATTCACATCCTTAGAACCTAGAGGAAGTGGGATTTGGCTCTTCAGGAGGATAGCAGGATCTGCTACCATAGCCCTGGAGTGCAGCTGAGCCAGATTGCTTGAGGCTTGAGAGACCATTGCCAAGTCTGCCTTACTGTTGACAGTGGTCGACCCAATTACTGACATCATCTGAAAATGATATCAGTGTTGATTCCTACATCCAACATTCCTACATGGACTTGGTAGTTCCACTGATATCATTGCTAGAGGCTTTAATATTTTAAAATTAAAACTCTTCCAGATGGGTCAGGTCTATTAATTCATATGCAATCTTTTGGTTTTGTGGTTGTGCTTTTGCAAATGCAATTGGCAAGTTGACATAAATCTGGCAAGCTGTCAGGTGTCACCTGAAGAAGGCTCCACGGCCAAAATGTTATGTTTTCTTTCTTCTCTTTTCAGCATGGAATAAACCTATTACTTATTCCTTTGCAGCCTACGCATGCTGACGAAGCTATCCACCTGAACTACTGAAGTGAAGTATACCACACAAATGGACTAGGCCAGACCACCAGTGTCAAATTTCCCTTCCCCAAGAAACCTTTTCAGCAGTTCCTGCAATCTTCTGCTGGAATTGGTTTTAAAATTGCAAATAACTAAAGAGAAGCTACAACAGGAAATGAAACAAGTATGAAATGAAATAAGAGAAAAAAAACAGATGATACAAACTAATCCTTTAAGTCAAACCGTTGAAATACATGAGAATTAATAAAAACAAACTTAAGTGCAATTGCATACAAGTTTCTGCTGGGCCCTTCTGCACTTGAATTGGCTTTAGATCCATGATGAAAAAAGACACAGTGCTGTTGAAATATGTAAGAGGATAATCCCTAATTAATGAAAAACTGAGTGGAACACGTGCCTGTACTACAACCTTCATCAATTGTGTAGAATTACAATTGTGTAGAATTCAAACAACATTTATTTAAAAAAAGGTTTTTTTTTTATTTTCCCTCGGCTATCTGAAATTAGATTTCCAGCAAACGGACTTAAATTGTTTATTACTTAACTGATTATATTTTAAAATAATATACTTTTTTTTAGATGTAGGTTGACGTTTATGGGGAACAAATGCTTCTGAACAACTATTTAACAATAAATAGTCAATTAGCATTGACCACATGAGAGCAGACTTACCAGTAATACATTTCAAGGGCTTGAGAATGAAAAGCACAGGTGACTTCTCTTTTTCACTCCCTTACAATAACAACTGCACACTCTTGTCGCTGCTGATATCAATAATATGCTCCACTCTATTATCAGTGTTTTTAGCAAAAATGGAACATACACTTCTATATATAGGTCTCAGATGGCAGATTTAACCTCAAAGAATGCCTGCTGTTATCATTACCATATCAAATCAGTGTGACTTCACATTGTATGTAATTCAGAGGGCAGTGTTGCAGCTTGGACAAAAACCTTGATCAAAATATAAATTGCAGCTGGGAAAAATGCAAGATTTACTAGACTTAAGCAAATAATTCACAAATTTTTAACCTTATAGTTTATGCATGACTGTGTGACAGCATGTATGTGTGAGCATCAAAGTAATACATTATTCCTATACCTCAGCAATGATAAGCAACAAACTCGCAGGCCCAGACACCTCTCTGCTGAGTGCAGTGCCAGGCAACAGGCAGCCGTGCAAACTGCTCAGCTGCAACTGTTCCAAGTCCAATAATTACAACTTGTCAGAAAGAATTAATTTTCCCATTTCTCATAAAGATGTGTAAAAATTACCATGTTATTATACACTGACACTCTCCGGAGGCAGACACCAAATTTAATTTTGAATTCTTCCCGCACATTAAATTAAATCCATAAATAAGAGTTTAGGCATTCGTTTGGAAGCATATGTTCGTTAGGAGAGGAAGCCAACACGTGCCCACTGTAATGGCTGTTGTAATGTTTTAATAGCTCGCTCCTTCTAAGCACCAATAAATTTACATGATCATAACAGTCGTGGGCAACCAAGAAGCCTATTACTGACTAAGCGCAAGCTGATACATTAAGTGATGAGAAACAGGGAGGAAAAAAGGCTGAAAGTCTTGTATAAAATTAAAGAACTGCACTTCTCATCTGCGCTCTGTGACTGAAGTTTAACTAGCGTGGTCGCTTGGTCAAAACAAATAATGATCTGATGGGAAACAAAAGATTTAATCTCGGCGATTCTCTGTCTCCACCAGCAAGTTGTGCTTGTTAATTGCACCAGTTAGTCCCATTCGGGAGAAATAACGCATGGTTTTCAATCAGTTTCCCATAAACCAATGGAGCACAGAAGACCAAAAGCTACTCACAGCCTTTTGCTTTGGCAATTGTCTCCATTAAAGGACAGCAAGAACATTAAGCCACATTCTGTTGGTTGTAATGTCTGCTTACCCACTGTTCTTGAGCTAATCTGTGCAATGTACAACACGGGAATACTGGTAGGGGCAAATGAAAACCTGAGTATGATGCAATACAATGTATGTCTTTACAGTTCCCGTTAAAACTAGGCTTCCAAGTGGGCTGAAGCACCTAATGGATAGTATTATTGTTATTTAAAATCTGTAAAATAGAGCTTAAAATGCTTTTAGGTGAGATCTAAATGCAGCGGCATCCTGTGATAATGACAGAGTTTGGCAGGAATTCCAGAAGCAGGAAACGGCTCTCTCCCTTGCTCACCATGTAAAGTGAAGGAGCTGCAGCTGCCTCACCTGCTGTAACTGGAAGCAGAGGCAGGAGAAAGGGATACCAGCTCCCTTGGAATATAACCGCTTCCGAGAAATGTCCTGAAAAGAACTCTGTTGTATCTTTTACAAAAAAGAAGACTTAGACGTACTACTCTATGGCTCATCTTCACATTAAATGAAGAAAATTGTAATACATTCTATAGTTTAATCTTAATTTTTGACTACTGACATGTCTATCTACTGTATATTCACACTTAAGATGCAGTGTACTGAAACCCCCTTACGAAAATTGCTTCACACAGGATTCCAATATTGATACAGCCTCCATGCTGTAGGTATGAAATTCCAGGGATTGAGCAGGAGAAAAAAAAAACAGGTTCTAAGGGGCATGCAGAAACAAAAATATCCTTAGTTTCTTTCCAATTGTAACATCTTGTTCCTAAAACTATGGTATCAACATAAATCATTAAACATAATGGTGCTATATACAACACCACCTAAATGTATTCATACTCGTAATATAAGAAGAACAAATAATTCAAAGAACATGTACAAATAGGACAGTGTTTCTTGATGAAAAATGTCTAAAAATCTCATATTAAGAATTAAGAATAATCTCAATAGCACTGCACAAAGCAAAGTTATATTTCTCATAACTTAATAAACTTAATAAAACTCAAAGGTCACATTTATTCACATCCCTGGAGTTCATACTTTGTAAATCCTCCTCTGGCAGAGATTACACTGACTAGACACCTCCTGTAGTGTATTATGAGGTGCTGGCACTACAGAGATGTAATTTATGAATACTTCTCCATAGAATTGCTCTGGTCTTTAGATCCTTTGGTTTCCATTAGTGAACTGCCATTCTGAGTTAGGATCACAAATATTCAATTGGATTAAAGTCTGGCAATTGGGATGGCAAGTCAAGAACATGTATTCTGTGTGCGGTTAACCATTCCTTTGATGATTTGGATGTAGCTGTGTATCACTGTCATGCTGGAATGTCCAGTCTTGGCCAAACATGAACTTACTGTCAGACAGAACCAGGTATCTGGCCACAATGTCCTGGTAAGGGTTGGAGTTCAGGTTTTTCCCTGTCTTGACAAGGCCTCTAGGACCTGTAAATGCAAAACAACCGCAAAAAACAATGGATCTCTCCATATGTCGCAGTGGGCACGAGTGTTCTCTGAACATGAGCTGCACTTATGTTGATGAGATGTCCAAAAAGCTAAATTTTTTACTTTATTTAACCATCAGACATTATTTCAATTGGCAATAGTGTTGGTATGTATGAGTTGCCTCTGTAGTTTACCTTCAGAAGAGGGTCCTTCCTCGCAACACAGCTATGGATGCTACATGTGTGCAGATGACATTGAATGGTAACTTTCACCACACTGCATCCTGAAGATGCCAGCGTTTACTGTAGATCTCCAACTGCTGCTTTGCTGTAACAGTTGCCTCCCAAACCACTCATTTCACAAACGGTGGTGGCAAGATACACCAGAGTCCTTTTCTTTCCAGGAAGGTTGTGAAGGTCAGTGATCATTTGCCTGCAGTCTTCAAAGAGCTCCCTGACCTTAACTATGATGATGCACGCTACTCCTAAATGTGTTTCATGCATTAACTCCTTTCATAACACATGGAAACAGGAAAAATGTAATGCCTATACAGAGGCTTCTAGTGCTCTTTCAAAGACCAAAATGTTAATGTAGATTTGCTCGTGTTGAATTGTATTTAAAAACTTTGTTGTGCAAATAAATATCACCCACTTGTTTTCTGACATTCAATTAATTATGATAAATATGACTTTGTGGAATGCTATTATGATCACAGCATCATATTATTAGATTTAAGTAAGGCCCATTATTCAATCTATAATTTATTGTGCTCTATAATACTTTTTGTTCCTTTTTCACTGGAGGTTTAATAAATCCGATCAGTTATATTATTGAAATGCAAACATCTATATTTTCTTTTCTATTTGAGGGGTCGTCCACATTGGCCCAACAATGGCCAGCTCACAAGCCTGGTGTAACACAGGTTACACTGCCTCAGGTGAGCAACTCTGCACCCAGGAAGAAGGATATGTTTTGCTAGCAGAGGATAACAGCTTGATAAAGAAATCAAGGTCTTTGAGGCGCTTTTATAAATGAGTATTCATTTTTTATCCATATTTAACCATAGACCATCCATTTTCTAACCACTTTATCCAATACAGGGTTGTGGGAGAGCCAGAGCCTATCCAAGCAACAGGCACAAGGCAGTCTCTGAACAGCATGCTAGTCCATCAAAGGACACACACAGACACAGACAAATACACACATCTACTCATACAGTTTTTCCAAGAAGCCAATTAACCTACCAGTATGTTTTTTGACTGTGGGAGGAAACTAAAGCACCACGTGAACATGGGGACAAAATACAAATTCCACACCGTGAGCACCAAAGTCCCAAATGTAAACCCTGGGTCAAAGTGCTGTGAGGCAGCAATGCTAACCACTGCACTACTGTGTTGCCCCCATACAAAATATTTTAGAACATAAGAGCCCGTTTTTGTGTTCCCCAGTCAGTCTGACACTGATAATCTGCAGATGTGCACATTCTTGGTCTGGACAGCAAATCTTAGTATCACAGTGCTTTAAGAGCTTGAACTACAATGGCAAGAAATCTAACACTTCTGATATGTGATGCACACAATATATAAAACAGTAAAAATACGGATTACAACTCAAGTAAGTTGGAAAGGAGAATTAATTCTGACAATTTTTTATCTCTTAGATCCATTTAGGATGCCAAACATAATACAATAAATGGAACTATAATCCACAATACCTGATGGGATGAGACACACTGTGAGTTGGAGACATACAGTAGGAATGAGCAAACGACAGCATGGTCTGGCCAAAAAGATGTTATTTATACTGTAGATACTACATTGATGAGTTTAGAATGTTCATTGTAGATTTGGATCCAGAGTAAACAGCATGGTATAGGAGAGGTATGGTATAGCAAACTTAATTAAGCTATTAAAGGCAGAATCACAGATATCATACAAGCACATACTAAATGCCAAAAGGGTGATATGGAATTGTATATCATCTACTGTATGCAAGTGTAGCAGATCTAGGCCTAGAGACCCTTAATACTGTACATAAAAACCATACTTTCACTAGAATCAGGAAAGTAGTTTACTGGCTGAGGTCATACCAACCATGATGTTTCAAATCTTCTCCCCCAGGTTTGGTTCTGCTAACATCCGTGTCCTATTATTCCTGTTAGTGTAATAAATACAACCCCTACTAGAATTCTAGATCCAACCAGCTGGTGCTGTTTGGCTAGGGACAGAGTTTAAACCTGCAATGCTTCTGCCCTCGACACAACAGAAGATGATATCAAGAGATTTGGTTTCACTTTGGCAAAAATGTAAAGGGTTCGTCTCTGAACCTAAAGGTTCACTTTTGTCTTCAATGAGTTTCACCTCAAAACCTAAAGGGTACAGTGTACCGTTCAAGACTGCAACTTGCGACTTGACCAATCTAGCCCTGACTCTCATCAGTCATCCTTCTCCCTGATATAGTATCTTTTAATTGTGCAAAATCAGCTTGCTGACAGCTGAGGCCAATTTTACTAATACTTTTGTGAGGAATCTGAGTCCTGACTTATTCCTCTCTCTCTCTGCAGTGTTCCTACACTTCCAGTGTTCCTCTCCTGGAGCTACTGTACACTCCAGATCCCTTTATTCCACAACAGCAAGATACGGAAAACCTTACAGTTAATCGACAATGTTTAAAGTACTATCAGTTTTACACATACAAATCAGATGAAGCTTTGGATTCCCTGTTAGTGTATATGCTTTTGGTCTGCACATTAAAACTCTTTTTGCAGTTAAATGGTGGAGGGGAGTCCCCATTACCTGTAAAGC